GTAGGCGTAGGCTACTTACTGCCCCCTGAAATGCAGTGCTAAGTAGCAACTGTAAAACAACTCTGAATCCAGATCCAGGCCCTCCACACCCAGGTTTTCCGGAAGCCTTCTCTGAATAGCTCCAGTGCTGGCTTCTGAATTTGTGGCTCCGTGTCCTTCATGTGAGTAGCCTTGCTGTCCCAGCTCTACTACAAGTGCCTGCAGCTTCTTCCACGTCTTGGACCACTCTTAAACACACACACCCAAAAAACCCTGCTTAACTACAGTAAAATTCTGTAGTATGAAAATGTCTATTCTGTTCCCAGCCAGATGCATTAGAAGAAAAAAATGAAAACAAAGACTCCTGAGTGAATAAATAGGTACAGAAGGTTAATATCGATGTTGGTTTGCAGACAGAAGTGCTTTGCTCTTCCCAGAGAAAGATACTTGGGTTCTTTGTTTTATGATATTCATTTGGAAAAGGCCAGTTCCTGTATCATAATCAAGGGTTTAGACACTCTTTGAGCTATACAAAAAGGGTGAAGCTAAATAAGGGTTTCCTAGGAACAAACCAAATCACCAGGCCTCCTGGCTGCCAGTCTTAAAAAACCAGAACTGATGCTTCAGAGGACTGACTGGGCTATGAAAGGCAACCAGGAATGGAAACCCCCAAGAGAAAACAGAGAGTGCCCAAGGCCAAGTTCAAAGTTGTGGAGGATTTGGCTTGGAAACTCCTTCCTATGTTACTCAGAGCGTAGGAGCAGTAAGCTCTGACTGGCAGAAGTCAGAACACGAGGACCAAAGAGGAAAGACACTGAACGAGCACCAAGATAGCTTCATCTGCCGCCAGAAGTAACTGTGCCAAACTCACGACTCCTGTATTTTCGGCTTGGTAAATCAGAGCCCTCTGCACGTATCTTACTTCTCTTCCCCAGCTTTTCCCACACTGGTCTCTCCCATGTCCTCCAAACAGACAGTGTGCATTTCTACCCCAGGACCTTTTGCACATGCTTTACCTGCAGTGGGAATTGCGTCTCTTCCTCTACACTTAAATCCCACCTCTGATTCAGGGCCAGTTCAAATCCCATTTCCTCCCGGAAGTCCTCCTCAAATAATTTGCCCTGTAGTCTCTTCTCCTTCTTCTGAATGTGGAGTGTTTAATGTCTATTCTTCTCCCTTGGTTTTTATGATATATTATTTTGTGTCATTAGTTAACATCTTTTAAAAAATTATTTAACTGCTTAAAAAGTATCTGGACTATACACAATCTTTATCACCCATTATAGTTTCCACCTAAATAGTGCTTGAGAAAAATCTGTTAATTGCATACCAACTACAGACAAGGAAATAAAAAGGTTACAAAGCCAGCATAAGATAGAGCTCTTACAATGAGGCAGTCAGCCTATCATTCATTTAGGGATTCAGTAAAGGTCATGGACATAAAACAAACGTGTATGCACAAGGAAAATTAGAGACTGAAACAGTAAATGAGATTATATAGAGAAAATATATAATGAATGAGGGAGAAAAGAGAAAATCGGCTAGGGTCATCGGAAAAGAAAAGTAGTAAGTAGTATTCAAAGAAGAAATTAGTGACCTGAGCTTTCACTTTATGGAGCTAGGAAAAGAAGAAAAAATTAAATCTCTATTAAGTAGGAGGAGGGGAAGAAAAATAGAGGAACACAATGAAATAGAAATGGGCACACAATAAAGAAAATAAATGAAATGAAAAGGTAGTCTTTTGAAAAGTTTAATAAAATTGATAAACTCATATCTAAGTTGATAAAAAAAACAAGAGTAAGAAAAAGAAAACACAAAATACCAATGTCCTCAATCTGATAAAGGGCATCTATAAAAACACCTACAGCTACCAATCTAGTTAATGATGAAAAACTGAACACTTTCCTCCTGAAAGGAAAAAAAAAAGACAAGAAAAAGAATAAAGTGCATATATGTTGGAAAGAAAAAAGTAAAACTGCCTTTATCTGCAGAGAGTATAATGTGTCCATAAAAAATCCTAAGAAATTTACCAAAAAAAATTACTAGAATTAATAAATAAATTTTACAAGATCTATATACAAAAATCAATTGTATTTCTACACACCAGTGGCAAAATATTAGTAATAATACATCATTTACAATGGCATAAAAGATATGAAATGTTCAGGAATAAATACTTAAGAGGTTATACAAGATTTCTTAGCTGAAAATTACAAAGCATTGCTGAGAGACATGAAGGAAGACCACATAAAGGTAGATATATACCATGTTTGTGGTTCGAAAGAGTAAATATTATAAAATTTTCAATTTTCTACAAATTGATGTATAGATGTATAGATTCAGCACAATGCCATCAAAATCTCAAAAGTCTTTTCTGTTGAAATTTGCAAGTTAGCCTAAAACTTATGTAAAATTATGAAGAACCTAGAATAATTTTCCCCTTTTTTAATTAAATTTATTGGGGTGACATCGGTTAATAAAATTACATAGGTTTCAAGTGTATGATTCTATAATACATCATCTGTATATTGCATGATGCGTTCACCACCCAAAGTCAAATCTCCTTTCATCATTATATATTTGACCCTTTTACCCTTTTCTACCCCTCCCTTCCCTCTGGTAATCACTGTAGTCTGGGTCTAAGTTCTTTGCGAAACAATTTTTCAAAAAGAACAAAGCTGGAGCATTCATACCACCTGACTTTAAAATTTTCTATGAAGTTACAGTAATCAAAACAGTATGGTACTGATCTGAAGATAGACAAATACATCAATGGAATAGAATAGAATCCAGAAATAGACTCATTTATCAATGGACTTTCAACAAAGTTGCAAAGCTTTTCAGTGGGGAAATGATTACAGTCTTTTCAGCAAATGGTCCTGGAACAACTGTATAAACCTTTGGGAGAAAAGAGCCTCTATTCATTCCCCACACTATACATAGAAATTAATTTGTGATAGATCACACCCTCAAATGTAAAACTAAAATAGAAAGTTTTCAGAAGAAAAAAATAGGAAAATACCTTTGATAACTTGAGGTATTTCTTAGAGAAGACACAAAAGACACGAACTCCAAAAGAAAAAAGTGAAAAATTGGACTTCATCAAAATTAAAAACCTTTGCTCATCAAAAGAGATGGTTAAGAAAATTAAATGGCAAGCCACAGGCTGCAAGAAAATATTCATGATACTGTCAAAGAACTTGTATTCAGAATTTTTAAATAACTTCAATAAGTTAATAACAAAAATATAAGCAACGCAATAGAAACTAGGGAAAATACTTGAATTTCATAAACACTTCATAAAAAGATACTTCATAAAAGTTGCTTCTTTGGCCAAAAAGTTCATGAAAAGTCACTTAATATCACAGGGAAATTTAAAGGCACAATGATATCTACTTAATGTCCACTAGAACAGCTAACATTAGAAAGTTAATATTGAACGTAGGCAGAGTTTCAGAATGCCAGTGCATTGCTGATGCCAATATAAAAATGGTACAGTCGTTTTGAAAAATGGCAATTTCTCAAAAAGCTAAATATACACATACCTTATGACCCAAAGTTCTACTCCTAAATGTTTAGCCAGTGAAATGAAAAC